ATTGTTGAACCCTGCCTGCCCTGGGGCATACATTTCGAGTCGTTCTCCCGAGCTGCTGACGACAACAACGATGACGATGATGATGATGAAAATTTATGCATAAAACTGTCATTGGAATTGTTTGCAAATGAGCTGCTGCTGCTGCTGCTGCTACTTCTGCTGCTGGCAGAAAAACGTAAGAACTGTCGAGGGAGGAGAGAATGCAAATTGAATTCCAGTCACGTGCACCGAATGACACACTAATCACACTGTTCGAGTGCAAAAAAGCGACACACTCTAGACTCTCTAAAAAGGGATCTCGCATCGGTGGGGGGAAGGACATTAGCCGGGTCAGCAGCTGCATGTCACATTATCAAATTGCACAGAGCACAAAATGCTTAAGCATGAAATCAGAATTCAATTTACCATGCATGCACACTGACAGGACAAGAGGCAGGATGAGTCGAGCCGGAGCTTCAGCTGTGAACTGTGGTGAGTTTCCTAAAGGGCTCACACACACACACTAGCACACCCACACACACATACAAGGACATGGATACGGATACGGTGGGAAAGTAAAAGGCAAATGTTGAGCATGGACGAGAAAGAGAGCGAATCCACATCAAAACAAAGAAAACCATGAGTCGGCTGGAGCTTGGGAAAAACTCGTTGAAACCGTGCAAAGAGCACGGAAAAAAAACCAACCAAAAACAGAAATTCACGGGGAAAAAGGAAGAAAGCAAAGAAAAAATAGAACCAAAAAAAAAATAGCTCAAGAACGAAGTAAAATGCCGACTAAACGATACTCCAAACTGGAAAGAAAGTTGACAGAAGATCAATGCTCCCAGTTTGAGTTTCATTCGAGCAGATATCCTTGGCTGCTGATCGTTTAAGTCACCAGTTTGTGACTGTTACATATAGCTGCACAAAAACAATATACCCTTGAAGTTCACAGGATTGCGGGGTAGAAAAACGAATGCCCTGAATGACTAAGGCAAAGTTCGCGAAGATTCAACAAATGACAAAAGCCACGACAAGCAACAGAGCCTCGACAGCAGGAAGGGGGTGTACAGTGGGGGGGAGCATTGCTAAGGGATTGCAGGGAGGATAGGGAATGTGGCAAGCGAGGTTAGAAGCTGCTTCAGGGACAGCTTCAAATGCTGAGGAGGGGCCCGCCCAGTCAAGCAAGAAGCGTAAGCGTTTTCTGTCTCTGTGGCTGATTCTGTGTTTGACGCGCATACATGTGTCTCTACCAGTTTGTGTCTGTAAGTGTGTGTTAGCGTGGGGGATACTATAGATGTCTGTGTGTGTGTGTGTGTGTGTGTGTGTGTGCCTGGGTATGAGAGAAAATTACAGACTAACAAGTGGTCGTTGAATGGCAAACCAGCGAGGCAGACAGCCCCAGCCACGACAGTTGATTTGATTTGACAGCAAGACATGACATTTCGGGTTGGCTGTGTGGTGCGGTGCGGTATCCCTAGCTAGCCCAACAGTCAGGGCACCCAAGACGCAGCTCGAGTGAAGTGAAGCTGAAGAAATGCCACGAGTGCTGGCAGGATCCACGACGGATGCCCCAACTGATGACGCAGATGTCTCAGCTCAACGCAACCCGACTCGACTCGACTCGTTCTGCTGCCGTTGGCAAGTGCAGGCAACCGCAAGCATCCATCCTTGTAGATGTTGGAGCTAAAGAAAAAAGATGAGGAAAAATTGTACCCGCGCCCGCTCATATAATGAAGATGGATCTCAACTGGGACAGAGACTGTGGCTGATGCTGTTGCTATCGCTGGAGCTGGCGCTGGGTCTGGGTCTGGGTCTTGGGCGACGACTAGCATAACAATGGGAAGCGGACGTAGCACTCGGAAACGGAAATGAATAGCAGGACACCCACAAGCCACAACCCCAAAGCCACATCCATCCCACATCGGACCGCATGGCACTGGGGAGGTTCGTTCCCATGCCCCCATTCCCACGGTAACGCGGTCCCACTCCCCAGCGGCTTGGCCGTAAAATATGCCATCGTGCCATATGACTATGTCATATATTTGGTATTTTAAAGTGTGCAATTCTGGTCCGGTCTGCTCTGTCGGTGTGTCTGTGGGTAAACACAGTGGCAGCATAAAAACCACGGCCATACTAAGAGGATAATTTGCATCTCTGTTGTTTTTGTTTATTAATGTATTTGCCAACTGACATTATTTTATAATTTTTAGGATATTTTTCGATGATTTAAAAGCGAACTGAATGGAATTGAATCTGACAAGCATTTCCTTGGTTTATTATAATATTTAGAGTATCAATAAACTTGTCTAGCCCACTGTAGCTCTTAAGCTAAGCATGATTTTAGCTGTACAAGCAACTGGAGACTTTCGAGCCAAACTGTATTGATATGCTTGCTGGCTGTCTTTGTGTGAACAGCTGATTGTCTCGACTCACCTCTTTGTTTGTCCCGCTATGTGCGCATTCCTCCGCTCCTGCTCCTGCTCCTGCTCCTGCTGCTGTTCCTTCGGTACTTTTGGTATGGTATACTACTCGTTCGGGGGGGCCCGCACGTGTGCCGGTGCCAGTTAGCGGTTAGGTCAGGTGGGTGCTCGTACGTTTGGTTTGGTGGTTTGGTTGGCTTGGCTCTGTTTGAGGATTGTGTGCCTTGTAGGTGATGAGTGAGTGTGTGAGTGGGTGAGTGGGTGGATGAGTGGGTGGGCTGGGTTTGGGCAGTCACTGTCAATGGATATCGTAGTCAGTCGTAGTTACAGTCCTTTTCCAACGCTTCAGTAGTCAGCTTGATGTGCTGAAAAGTCACTTTCGAGTGTTTTCACTTTCCACGTGGCGTTGCACGTGCGCGCTGCCAGCCAAGTGCCAAGTGCCACTTGCCACGATTGTTAGCATGCATTTGCTTCACACACAGCAAGGGAAAGAGATAACCTGCTGGTCGCGACTGGCGCGCGTTTACAGTTACAGCCTTGAAACAATGCAAGACAGCGACAACGGCGGGAATGACGACCACCCATTGAGGAGCCACTCGACCAGTTTCGTTCTCCTTGTTGTTGTTGTTGTTTGGTTTGCTTGTTGTTGGTACAGTTTTAGGCCACGTTTACACGAAATTAAGTTGAGTAATTAAGTTGGCCTGCTTGGGCATATTTCATGGCCTGCTTCTGGGCGTCCCACTAAAACGTTGACTCTAAATTATGCATGCACAGGCCTGTCACGTGGTTGAAGCTGCTACTAAGCGACGTTAGTCAACGTCGACGACGGCGTCGACGCCACATGCTAACATTTTGACAGCTGCGCGGCCGCGGCGGTTGATTCCGATTCAAAGTCCGAGTGCGAGCCGGATTTTGAGTTGGAGTTTAAGTTTGAGTGAGTTTTGATTTACTTTTACTGCAACGAACTTCCGCTGATTATTTTCTCAGCACGTTCTAGTCGATTTGTTATGATTTCTTTGGTTGTTTTCGTTTGTGGGTTATACAAATTGAATTTATTTGGCTACGCGCCACAGAGCACCGGAGCACCAGCAGAGCACATTGCACCCACACAAAAATCTCGCTCACACAGCTCTCTGCCACGCGCTTCGCTCTCACTCAAAACTCTCACTACCACACACACACACAGGGACACAGGGACACAGACACAGATGTTCGTTCATGAGCACACGCACACACACCTAGGTGAAAGCGTAACGTAGGACGCGATTTTGGCGTATGTCCTGATGCCGTAATTTTCGATGCACAAACAAGCGGTATTCTCAAGGACTCTCGACTTTTGTTCAATTCCCACGATTGGGCCACAGTCTGGGGCTGCTGTTTGGCCAGATTTCACACATTTAAGGCGCGATTTGGTAATTTTTAGGATTTATTTTGATGCCACACAGCGTGGAGTGTGCAAACCGTGTTGATTTGTTCGCACCTTGGCCATTCGCTACTGAACCCAACACACACACGCTGAGAGTTCACCACACTGCCTGCTGGCTGTCACGAGAGCGGGAGAGAGAGAGAGAGAGAGAGTCGCTGGGCCACCAACAGGCCAGGATACAATCACTCGTTGCTTTCACTCTCTCTCTCTCTCTCTCTCTCTCTCTCAGTCTCCTGTGCTCGTGGTGTGTTTTGTCCACTTTTTTTGGGGAGAGCTTGCGCACAGCTGTTCAGGGAATGGCGGCATTTCAAATAGTTGGCGGTGAAAGTTGGAAAAAAGCCAAGAAACTTGGATTAAAAATTAGATAATGTATAGGAAAATGTTACTCCAAGCGCATAATTATATTCTCAGTAAAGATTTCTAGTAATATTCATTTGCTTAGATTTATTTTCATCCCGGCACTGCTGACGTAGGCACTGCCTTAACTCACTCAAGACCAAAACTTGCGCAAGCTCCCGCTCTCTTTCGCAATCCCATTCTTCTCAGCCTCTCTCTCCCTTGTGCTCAGCTGTCATCTGTGGTATGTGTGGGCTAGTGGGTGGCCCCTTTTTGCATGGAAATCTGTTGCATGAGCGCAATTTGTTATCCTCTTTATCTCAGCTGAGTGTCGTCCAAGTGTCAGTAGTGCTTCTCGCTACATAAATTACTCCATGCCATCTTGAGCAATGCCGTTACGGCAACAACAATCAAATTGAGCATATAAAAACAATCAAATTCCCTTTTGCCGGCACAAGCTGCAGGGCAGCGCCCATCGGGCAAATCCCCCAAAAAGTAAAAGTGCGAGTACCCACAATAATAACAATCTAGCTGCGAAATAGAGTGGGTGTTGCGTAGGACTAGCAGCAAGACAAACACACAATGTAAAGATGAAGAAGGACCTCGTGCAGGAGTTTTGCGTTGAGAGAGAGAGAGAGAGAGATAATAGCGATGTTGCTCTGGTAGTCAACGGCATCGAAGTTGTTTGCTGGTTTTTGTTTGTGCTCTCCAATTTTAATGAACTTCGCTACTAACCCACTTTTTTACACACTTCATTTTGTTGGGGGGAGCAGTGAAAGTGTTTCTACTAGTCTTTGTTTAATGACAAAAGTAGGCGTCCCATCAAATTCTGTATTCGATTCGTTCAGTTACTTGAAACATTAAACACAACTAGCAAGCACAAGCATAAAGCACAAGGCATACAGCAAAATTAACGTAATTTGAACACTTTTATTGATATTTATTTTGGTTGTTTTCGACACCATGCCTAAAAAACTAGATTCTGATAGCCCCATGTTTGTGGCTTGTAGCGCACATTTTAATTTTCTGAGAGAGTACCGGAAGGCCTGTGCCGGCCATGACATCCAGCCTCAGCAATTATTCCACGAGGCCTCCACTGCCTGGCAGGCTCTTAGTACCGAGGAGAAGACCCTTTTCGAGGAGGTTAGTCGGGAGGAGCTTCCCTTTGCTGGGTCCAACTAATCATTTTTCATACATACAGGAGAATTATTTGCCAGCTCGTCTCGCTGAAACTGGAAAATCGTCCGTGGGTATTGCTGTGGATTTGCTGACATCTCAGGGGAAGAATATATTTGGGAAGGCCAAGTCCAAGGCTAAGCGCAAGGCAGTCAAGCGGCAGGTGCCAGCGAAGCAAAAGAAGAGCCAACAGACCACTCTTCGGCCAAAAATGCGGCCCAATAATGATCCCGTTTCTCCTTGTGTATTGCAGATCATTTTTCGGAAACTTTCCTAGACCCAAATAAAGTATCTCTGGGTAATATATTTAATGGCAAATAATGGCGGATCCCTTCAGCGTTTTGGGGCTGGGCATAGACACTGCGGGGTGGCGCCAACGTACGTCATAGCCATGACCATTGATGCGCACAACTAATTGAATTTCTCAAGCTGTTTCATTGACCGAATCGATTGAATCGAAACCAATTTGACCATATGCACCCAATTGCTCCCCTTGCTCGCCCACTTGGCCTACATCAACGCCATCAAAGCCGAAACCCCATCCACCGACACCACAGAATGGTATCCTGGGTTCTGCCTTTTTTAGCAAGTTGACTTCATTATACCAGTAGACACCTGCAGGCAGACAGGCGGACAGCACAGGCTGAAGCTTCATTAGAATGCATATTTCATATATTTTCTGGGCAAAATTCCTTTAGCTGATGCTGATGCCTGCATACCATAACCTGATGAAAACTGCAATCAATTTCGTTTCCATACATTTTTCAACATTGGCTAACATCGAAAACAACTCTGACTTGTGGTTTGCCCACCTCATGTGGCTCTACGATGCATAAGAATGCAATGAGATTATCAGGTTATTTTTATTACATTTTCATTACCATTAGCTGGAATATTTACACAAAAATATTTGAAAAATTAGATCCAAGCCTCTGCCAATTTGCCTTCAAGCCTGAATTGCACTTTGCGTATCAAATCGTTTTTTTTTTGGCATTACATTTACCTTTTAGTTCCCATTTTGCCACTTGAAAGTTATCTTTTCACCCTCAATCAAAACGAAGAGTTTCGGCCTATTCCGCTTCTTGATTGCCTTGCCCAAAAAGGGGAAAAACAAATGCAGTCAAAGTCAAAATTACCCCGGAATAAAAGTGAACATTTGCCAATTAGGGAGCGATAAGGGAAAAGAGTGCAAGCAATTTGTTTGCTCAAACGAGACGTCAAGTATTACGCGAGTTTACAGAGAGGCGGAACGGGGATGGGGACTCCGATTGGGATTGCAACAATCGAATTAATTGGCAGCTGCCCTTACCCGTATCGAACAATCGATGGCAAATGTAATTTCCAATATCATTAGGCTGTGCCCAACCAATTTGTATAGCAGCGGTACGGAACAGGAACGACCTCCTCTTTTATTTATTTTGTATTTTTTATTTGCCTTAATCGCTTTGTCACATAAATGAACCGAGTTTTGCTCTCCAGCTCTCAGCTTCAGCTCCAACCATTTGGCTGGCTGACTGGCTGACTGGCTGGCTGTATTTTCTACAACTTTGTCAACGTTTTTGCTTGGGGGCCAAAGTAAACTCAATTAACTTTTTGCCATTGCTCGCTGCAACAATAAACAATTTTTTCCACCTTTTCGCCTGGGCTCGGGCGAGAATCGCAATTAAGGAAGATAACAGTCAAGTGCAGCAGCGCCCACTCCTTCCTTCCTTCCTTACATATATCCTCTATCCCCCATCCCAATCCGTGTACGTATAAATTGCTTAGAAAATGTAAAGTGTAAAGCAAAATGGTTTGTGTATTTGTCATGGCGGTCTGTGGCCTCAGCCTCAGCCGCAGCCTCAGCCGCAGCCTCACCTCCTGCCTCAGCCTCTCGGCTGCAGTCAGGGCCCGAGCTGGACGACATTAACCAAGATTTGTTGGCGCTTGAGCGAGGCGTTTGTCAGGGGCTCTTGCTGCTGTTGCAGCTACTGCTGCTTCTTTTAATTAAAAAAGTTCTAGCTGGATGCAATTAGCGGGGGGAACGGCACGGGTGACGTCGCACGGCGACTTCCACTGAGTTATGAGCACTGTGTGAGGTTTAAGTAAATGCTTATATTAAATTTTAATAGATCCCATCGGTGTGGACATTTAAAATTTGAACAATTTTTGACAGTCACAAAGGTACGCTGATAGGGATCATAATTAAATGCAGAGCTGCATGGTTTTTCAGGATTTTTTAAACAAAATTTCGCAGTCTTGGGAAATGGGTTTAAAGTAAATATACATTTTGAGACATCTTTGCATTATCTGTCTCCGTTTACTCAAGCTAGAGGGCCATCTATCAAATGGAATGTTCATAAACAAAAGCAAATAGACACTGAAAACACAAGTCCTAAATATTAGAGCACAAATAAGAAAATTTGTATAGACAATTTTTGAAGGCGTTAATTGAGTAGACTATATCCAAGTAAATTCGATCTGCATAATGTTCACTCGTAGCGCCCAATTGAACTTTCTAAGAGAGTACCGGAATGCCTGTGCAGGCGATGATGTTCCAGCTCAAGAATTGGTCCGCGAAGCCTCCTCCGCCTGGCAGGCTCTCACTCCTGAGGAGAAGTCACTGTTCGAGGAGGTTAGTCAAGAGCTGCCGTTTGCTGAGCCCAACTCATTATCTTTCATATCCACAGAAGGAGTATTTGTCGGCTCGTCTCGCTGAAGCTGGTCCATCGGCCATAGGAATTACTGTGGGTTTGTTGACAGCGCAGCTGAGCGACAACCTGATGGAAATGGGCAGCAAGGCAGAGATCTGGACAAAGTCTACAGCCAAGTCGAAGTCCACAAAAGGAAACACATCCAATTCGTCTGATTCTGATGTGGATCAACCTTAAGCTTCTCTGCACTGAAATGAAGGCTTAGTATTTCATATTTGTTGCTGCCTTCCAATACTTTTTTGCACAATTTACAAACATGAGAAAACGAAAATGGATGCAAAATATTCAAATTTCTCGATCTCTCGAGGCTGCAGTTGTCTTTGTTTTAGTATGTAAAAAAGGGATAAATGACATCAAGGATAATACGCACTAACACACCCACTCAGACAGGTAAGAGCACACCCAGCACCCAGCACCCAGCACCCAGCACCCAGCAACACACTCAGCGATACAGTGTTGTCCCTTAAAATATGCAAAGCAAAGGGAGAGCGAGCACCCATAAGACAGTGTAGAGAGTCTCTGAGCTGGAGCTGAGATACATCCAACATGCAGCAGTCAAGAGCCAGCACACACAGCACCTATGCATAAGTAATGAAAGCACACATACAGATGTACATATAAGTATACGTATTAGTGTGTGTGTGTGCTTGGGAGTGTTTGCTGTTGACGGCTCACATGTTAAAAGCGTCAGTATAATAGCCAAAGTAATGGCAAAAGTGCAATTGTGAGTTCAAGTAAATAAAAACTATTCAAATATGCAAAACACAATGCAAAATGAAGAGCTGCAGAGCACTCCCGCCCAGTGCCCGCTCGTGTATCTCAAGTGCATAAATTTGCTTGTTAAATCCTGATTGATACGCCAGCCTGCCATGGTCGTCCTCGTCGTCGTCGTCGTCGTCCCTGTCCTCGTTCCCGTTCCGCTGAGCGTTCCTTTCAACGGCAATAGATGGAAATGGATATGGACATGGAGAGCGCAAAGGAGGACGAAAAAAGAAAAAGAACTATCCACATATTGCCATCATATTTTACACAAAGCGGAAGTCGAGTGCCGCACTGCACAGAACTTGTTGTCCTTTGGGGCGCTTCCAGCGTGTGGGGGCGGAGCCACACTATATCGAAGTTCGCTTACCAAGTTTTAGTTGGAAAATTCTCGCCAAGAGAGTTGTTGCTTCAATGGATCGGTTATCGCTTCGCTAAATGTTTGGTCTTCCTAAAACTATAAAAGAAATTTACTGCTTTTGGCTACACATAAGAATCTCAGACAACTTTTGGCTGACATATTTATTAAGTTAAAGAAAAAATAGTTGAATGCCCTCAATAAAATAATGGACTTGCGGTCAAATCCATCACCAAAACGCTGCGCTTCACCATAAAAGACTCAATGTTGATGGCGTAAACGAGCCAGCACAGACGTGTGTCCAGGTGGAAATTGATTAATTTTTCTAGCGCTTTTGAAGTCTCTGACAAAGCCACGAGGAAATTGAAACAGAAACTGAGTCGAAGGCTGACTGTGACTATTGTGGCTGATTCAGCAAAGCGCTGGAAAATGTTGTCACAATGGTGGTGGCATGGTGGAAGTTCTGGCTGAGGTTTTTAGTTGCTCGATGCTCAAAGCAGCTTATTGGCATGAACAGCAACGCCTACAAGCATCAAAGACACCGTTGACAGCACCCCGGCAAGGATGACGCAGTGCAGCAGCCAAAGAAAGATTATTGCAAAAAAAATATCAAAATGAAAGAAGAGAGAGGAAAAACTCTTTTGCCCACCCACTAGAGAAATGGAAAAACATGGAAATGGAAAGTGGAAAGTGGAAAGTGGGAAGTGCGAATGAGCCCCTAACGATGCTGCCGTTGCTGCTCTCTTGTTGCTGGCATTGTCGGTGGGGCTGTGGTGGCACGATGGAATGATTATAAAGCAACATCAATGGGGGAGGGAGGGCATCATCTATGCATGCATCCAGGTTCGTGTATGCTTTTGGTTTTTTCTGGTTGTGTGTGTGTTGGCGGTTGTAGGCACTTTGCGGATGCTCGTGAATTGAACGTTTATTGACACACAAAAGCTGGAAAATTGAAAAATTCTGCAGAGCCAACGATTCCCCCACATGCCCGTGTTTACGACCAGCAGGCCCAGCACAAACCCCCACTCATCTCATCCCTTTTCAATGCGTATTCCCCACCTCACCGTTCCCTTTGGAACCCTAGCAGCAGGGTATTATGCATTTTACTAGATGTTTGTTGTACTTTGGGATAGCCTTACAATAAGTTTTACTTGCTCTTTAGATTTATAAATAAATTTGTGTTCAAAATGGAACAAATACTCTTCATAATCTTCACATGTGCTGCTGCCAAGAGTATTCCTCGCTTCGTTCTGCCACCAAATAGCCATACCTCCTTCCTTGTTGCTTTTAATGGATGCCACACACCTTTCAGGATTGTCATTGTTGGTGTTCCTCCTTTCTGGCAATTTCCCCAGCGGCGGCATCCTGACAACGCCGCTCATCGAGGCACCACCTCAAAGGACCGCTTTGTGCGGCGCCGTGCGACCGTGTATTAGTGCTTTCCATTCAATAGTTTCTCATTCCTACATACATTCGGGTTTTATGTGTTATGGCATATTTCTGCGTTATAATGCAGACACTGCCAGAGGCACAGCCCCGTCTACTGGCGATGCCGTCGCTTCTTATTGCCCGCTCAACCATAATGGGTTAATGGCAAATTGAAACCCGATTGAAAAGCGCCTCGAGACGCGTTCGCTCCATATGAAATTCGTAATTGAATTAAATTTAATGGCATATTCCGAATGCCTTCTGCGGTGGGCGTGGCGCACATGTGTGTCTTCTCCTCCTCCTCCTTCTGGTTCGGTTTTTTTTACACAAAAAATTCGTACGAGTATGTCTGGTTTTGTTAATTTGCTGGAAGTGCGTGGCAAGTCGTCGCAAGTGCCGTAAAGTGTGAGCAAATTCAATTTTATTTTAGATTCGCATATTTCTCTTTGTGCCACATTGGCTTCCAGGAGTGGCTGGCTTCGAAGTTTCAATGGGAGCATCAAATGGAAGCATTAGGAGAAGCCAGTTCAGGGCTTATAGGTTAAGCCCCATAATCTTTCAGGCTCTAAAGAAACTGCAAGAACGGATTGGCAGCCTCACAAATAATGTAGCTTCTGTATCCGTAGCTAACAGCAGAACTAATTTTCCAATTAAATTTCAAATGTTTGGCAGTGCTGGAAATTGCCAAAAAACTAAACACATTTTCCAACACTTTTTGCTGGCATTTTTAGGGCATTATTGCAAGCAGTGGCGTGTCAAAAATAAATTAATTGAGCTCAGAATTCCACTGAGAATTCATCAAAAACAATGGGAAGCAAATGGGAAGACCCGCAGAAAAGTGCGCCACCATTGCAGCCAATGCGCGGTGGATGGAACCCAAAGGTAAAACCCAAACCAAATATCAAGTGGGAGCTAAAATAGATTCAAACGGTTTCCTGTTACAGATCTCCGTGCTGCCTTTGCATGTAATCAACTCACGATATAATGAAGTGCAGCACAGACATGCACCAGAGACCACGATTATCACTGTGCCGAATCGATATGGCAAGAAGACACCAATCGCCGTAAACACTGACACAAACGGCCTGATAAAGGATTTTACAATTCTTTCAGTCAATAAGAGAGCAGCTCCTGTGGATGCGGTTGCCAGAGGAGCAGTGGAGAGGAAGAACTTCACGTTGGAGGAGATTCGCGCGATATGGGAAGGTGACAAGCCCTATTTTCCAATGCACACAATCCATTCGGAACACCAAAGCGACGATGCTCAGGACGATGCGCCGGAGCAGACCCTGCCGGATGAGGAGGCTGACTATGAGGAGAATCGTGTGGCCGAGGCTTTTATTGCCCGCCGGCCCAAAGTGCTGCAGCCCTGCGAGTCTCAGTCCGGCATATTAATTCTGGAGAATGCGATTCTTTCACCTGTCCCACTGCCCACCATTATCTACAATATTCAGTTGCTCGAAATCGTGGCGAAGTGGCTGTCTAAGCATCAACTGTTGGCGGTGGCCCATGCCTGCCACACCCATAATCGGATTCTGCCCAGTGGCGAGCGTGCTGGCTTCCTGCTGGGCGACGGACCCGGCATGGGAAAGGGCCGCAGCCTTGCCGCCATCATATACAACAATTTCATGCTGGGTCGCAAGCGTGCTCTTTGGGTCTCCATCTCGAATACTCTCAAGTGCGATGTGGAGCGCGATGTGAAGGACATTGGCGCCAGCGAGAAGATCAATGTGGTGCTCCTGGACACGCTGAACTACTGGAGCATCAGCTCCGAGGAGAACGACAGATTCAAAACGGGCATCGTCTTTTGCGAGTACACCTCGCTGTTGGAATCCGCGCAGACTTCCGATGCCAAGTACGACAAACGTTTCCTGCAGGTGTGCAACTGGCTGGGCCAGAACTTTGACGGCGTCATCGTCTTCGACGAGTGCGACAGCGCCGCCAGGACCCTAAGTGTCGAAAATGTCAGCTTGCTGCTGAAGCTGCAGAAGCAAGTGCCCAATGCTCGGGTTGTCTACGTCTCGGCCACGGAGCTCAGCGATCCGAACAGTATGACTTTCATGACACGCCTGGGCCTGTGGGGCGTTGGCACTGCCCACCCGAAATTCGAGAGCTTCGCCAACGAGATACAGCTCCGCAGCCCTGTCCTCATGCGGCTGTTGTGCATGGAAATGAAGCTGTGTGGCAGCTACATGGCCCGTCGGCTGAGCTTCAAGGGTGTCAGCGTTCGCATCGATGAGGTGGTCATGACACGGAAATTCTTCGACATGTACGACTATGCCGCCAAGCTGTGGGCCGAGATCAATATGAAGTGGCAAGCGGCCTGTCGCCTCCTGCGCCTGCCCGAATGCCTTCAGAAGATCATCTGGCACGAGTTCTGGTCCGCGCATCAACAATTCTTTCAGTACTTGTGCCTCGCCCACAAGGTGGAGAACGCTCTGGATGTGGCACAGGAGGCCATCGAGCAAGGCAAAGCGGTCGTGATTAGCCTTCAATCGAACGAAGAGTCCTGGACGCTCGAACACTTGAAGAGCCAGAATTGCCAGCTGCAGCAGCCAGTGTCCACTTTGAAGGTGATTCTAAGATCGTTTGTGGAGAAATACTTTCCGGCACCCAATGTGGATGATTTCCATAGTCTGATCAACACGGCGGACATAAATAAGGCCAGGAGGCCGCGGCTGCATTCCGACCGCCTTGGAGACGACGAGGGCGCTG